TGCTTAGAGTGCTGAATTTTCTCCCCAGACCCTGATTGTAGTTCTAAATTACCTTTTCATTTTCCTATAAACTTTAATCAGCTTGTCTAAACGTTGTTTGACTAGATGGTTCTGAAACCATAAAGTAGTGTAGGGAAAAGGCACCTTAATAATGTTATCTTTTAATGCCTAATGTAGTCTCTGCCTTTGTAGAGATCTTTCACTTTTCTGGTCAACATTTTAATAGTTTTCAGTGTATAGATCTTAACAGTGTTCTTAGTTGCAATGTTTTGGAAGTTATTACACATTAAATGGCACTAATTTTTAAAGTTTTTTTTCCAGTGGTTTCTTGTGAATATATAGAAATACAACTGGTCCTGTCTGTTGTAACCTGTTGAACTCGAACTCATTTATTCCCGTAGGTCAGCGGGGGTGAGCCCATGCTGTGTGTGCCATAATGTGCTGTTTGCATCATTGAAAGTTCTAGAAGTTTCACCATCACGGCCACACGAGTTTTGTTTGGATAGATTCCATAAGGTTTCTCATAATCCTGAAGTTTGCAAATAAAGGTTATATCTGGAATTATTTTAACTTAACCTCCAGTAACTCCAAAAGATACGTGTTTTCCAGTGATTTGAAAGTGTCCAAGATTCTCATTGGTGTTGCTGGGTTCAGCAGCTCTTTGTAGCTTCTCCTGCCAAAGCGGACTGGCTGTTTCTTTTCTTTCCTTCAGTGCAGTTGTTCATTCCCTTTGAACAGTTTCTTTCCTCTCACAGTGTCTATTTTACCTTTTGGGTTTTATTTACTTTTTCAGGTTTTTTTTTTTTTTTTTTTTGTATTTTAGAGAAGGGCCTACAGGGTATTCAGGGTCTCACTACTAGATCAGACTCATAGTGACCCACCTATTTACAGCCTCCCAAGAGCTGGGATTACAGGTGCACGCCACCACGGCCAGTCTCAATTGCCATCTCAGTGCACCTCTGGGGCAGGATTGGCACAGCAGGCTTGGGGATTGAACCCCCAGCTCCTGCGCTGGTTGCATCCGTTTGCCTTTATTTATTTTTATTTTTATTTTTTTTGGGCGGAACTGGGGATTGAACTCAGGCGCTTGCGTTTGCCAGGGAAGCGCTTATTCCACTGAGCCATCTCCCAGGCCCCTGCCCTGTTTACCTTTAAAAACCTCCAGGTTAATTTTTTTTTTAATAGCTGAATAATTTATCCTGAACAATTTGTTGAGATTTAATGATGATAAAAACAAATGTCCTGTATCTGTGGAAAATATTTCATCCTTTAGATTTAAGTAGTGCATGGAAGTACCCAGGAGACAAGCACACTTCCTGACTCAAACCCTTCTTGCCTCAATCTCCATGAATAACAGCACAGTACACTCTGGATATTGGAAAGGAGTCACTGATCTGACAGTTTTGGTGAATTCCTAAGTAAAGAAGATGTGTATGGAGTATATTTTCTGGTTGTTGTTTCATGCATGAATCTTATTGTGTTCCTCTACAGCTCACTTTCTTTGCTTATTTTCTCAAATAAGATTTGGACTTTGTTATACTCATTTTACTTTATTAAGTTTAGTGAATGTAAATATATTCAATGACCATATTTATCATAGGGAAATTTCTACCCATACATCATATCTCCTCATTTGCCATTTTTCTCCCATTTTACATCCTCACCTTCCAACCCCTCCTTTGCTTTACAAAGTTTCATGTCCAATTTATTGTTCTTTTATCATTTTTAATATTCCTTTCCTTTCTTTACCCTTGCGAGTTCCCCTTTCATTAAAAAAAAAATTCTCCTCATTTTCCCATATCATTTTTACAATGTTGTGCTCATTCACACTTTCAGTTTTTGCATACCAGTGAGACATGCAATACTGTTCATGTTTGATTTATTTCACTTATGGTATGGTCTGAAGAGCCATCCTTTCAGCAATAAATGTCTGCACTTTATACTTTATGGCATATATATATATATATATATATGCACTTATATATAGTCATGATATGAACTTTGTTTTATATTCAAAGTTTTTCTTGTGTCAGATATTTTGTAGTTATGTGTTATTTTTATTTTTTTAAATTTAAATTTATTTTGAAAAGTAAAAGCAAAGCAAGGACAAAAATCAGAAACAAAGAAAAAGGGCAGCATACAACAGTATGTTACAGATTTTCAAACCAAGAGTAACTGATTAACAATGGTTGATATAGTATTTATTTTATCATCATATATGGTGCTCAGGTTAGCAGGTCTTGTTATGTAAGATGGGACATGCGGTGGAATATTACCCCTTGCCTTCAAGAAACCTTAAATTTTTGTTCTCTCTTTTTTCTTTGCTTTTTTTTTAAAAGTAGGTTTTAAAAAGAGCATAGTAATAATTGATATTAACAGTACATATGTAAGAGACCAAGTTGTCAGGTATTTAAACCTTGGTTTTGTATTACCCATCCTTCAATGTAGTTGCATAGGTTGCAGCTTTGAGCATACAGTTTGTCAAGATGATCATTCTACACATTAACTGCTATTTTCAAAAGTCTGATGGAAAATTTTCAGTACAGTCACCTCAACTATCCTGCATATATACTTGTATGTTTTTCCCCTACCTTTTTTCTTATTTTTTTCTCTTCCTTGTCCTCTTTGTTGTTTAATCCTTAAGTTCCGTTTCTTTGTTTTACTTTATCTGTTACACCTTTCAGGTTTTATTTCTTCTTTCAGGTTCTTACATTAGGGAGACAATATGGTATTTACCCATGTGGGCCTGGTTTATTTAACTTATGAATATAGCCTCTAATTGCATCCACTTACCTATGAAGGCTTCAAATTTGTCTTTCTTTACAGCTGAGTAATACTCCATTGTATAGAATACCACATATTTTTCATCCACTCCTCAGGTGATGGGCATTTTGGTTGCTTCCAAGGCATTTGACAAAGTCCAACACTCATTCATAATTAAAGCCCTACAGAAAACTGCAATAGATATTCTCTACCTCAAGCTGATAAAAGCCATCTATTACAATCCAATAGCCAACATAATTCTATTTTTTTTTTTAATTTTTTAAAAAATTTATTTTGTGTGTGTGTGTGTGTGTGTGTGTGTGTGTGTGTCTGTGTCTGTGTCTGTGTCTGTGTGGCCAGCTCAGCCCACCAGGGGGCAGGCTGGCTGGCATGTGGTGGCTGGCATGTGGTGTGAACTGCGGTCCCTGTAGCTTTGCTAAGCTTGTTCTAAGTAGGTGCTTTAGACCACTGAGCCATCTCACCAGCCCCAGCCAACATAATTCTAAATGGGGAGAAACTGAAATCTTTTACTCTCAAATCAGGTACAAGATAAGGATGTCCTCTATCACCACTCCTGTTCAATATAGTTCTCAACTCATTAGCTATAGGCATTAGACATGAGAGAGAAATAAAAGGAATAAGAATAGGTAAAGAAGAAGTCAAATTATCATTATTTTCTGCTGACATGATCTTTTACTTGGAAGACCCAAAAACTCCACCAAGATGCTCCTAGAATTAATAAACAAATTCAGTAGCATGGCAGGTTACAACGTCAATATCCAAAACTCAATAGCGTTCCTCTACACAGATAGCAAACACACTGAGAGAGAAATTAGAAAAACAATACCCTTCACAATTGCACCCCCCCAAAATAAAATACTTAGGAATTAATCTAACTAAAGAAGCAAAAGCTTTATACAATGGAAATTACAGTATTATGTTTTTTTAAAATTTGTGTTCATTGATTTTTACTGTTTATGCAACTTTGAATTGTGTTCCCAACAGATACTTAATTCTGCTCTTATTTTTTACCCATGATTGTTATACAGTTCAGTTTCTAATTCTGTTTATTTATTTATTTTTTCTCAGTGTCTTGTTGTATAGGCTTGAGGTCACTATGTACACCAGGCCAGCCTCAAACTCACAGAGATCCTCCCAACTTTCCTTTCCAAGCGCTGAGATTATAGGCGTGTGCCACAATATCATGTTGAAGTTTTTCTTTTTGTATTTAATGCTTAATTTTCTTGTGCTGTCTTTATTTTTGATGTGCCTGGTATATTTTGTTCCTGTTTTTCCATCTATGATTGTCCTTTGAATACTGCTAGAAGTTCTTCTATCTGAGTGTAAAGTTATCTGAGTGTAAAGTAATACTTACGCTCAGGTATTACTGAGCTATAGGATAATATGGTAAACTCACTGTTTTTATGTTCCATAGACTTGCTGTAATAATACTGTCCTTCCATCTGCATTTCAATTATTATTCATAAACTTTAATGTATTAATTTTTTTTTTGAAAGCAGATTCAATTTTAAAACATAGCTGAAGAATGTCTAAGAAAGAATGAATTAATTGTATGATAAATTAGATTTGAAAAGAGTTCTTATCTGTTGTCTATCAAAAGCATTTGTTAAATATTTATCTGCCCCAATATTTTGTGGATGATGATTCACGGGCATCTTCTATAAGCTCTACTTTAGAAAGTATATGAATCATGTATTTGTGACTCTGCTGGGTAACCAGTTGTTCTCTTCTATTGTTGCTGTAAGAGTAAGTTGGACTCTAGGATCAGAATTGTGTGATAGGGCTGGCCAAATAGCTCAGTGGATTAAAGCTCCTACAAGCAGGTGCAGGGTCCGGGGGTTTGATCCCTGGGCCTGCTCTGCCGGCCCTGCCCTCAAAGCATGCTGAGACAGCAATTGAGACTGGGCTTGGTGGCCTGTGCCAGTCATCCCAGCTCTTGGGAGGATGTAAACAGGCAGATCACTATGAGTCTGATCTAGTAGTGAGACCCTGAACACCTTGTAGACCCTGCCTTAAAAAGTACAAAAAAAAAAAAAAAAAAAAAAAAAAAAAGAATTGCTGTTTGAAAATATGTGCATATACTTGATGACTAAGACAGGAAGTTAATATTTGAAAGAACTGGCTTCAATTCAGCTTTTACAAGAAGAGCAATCTCAGGGCAATCTCAGGGTGTGAGTCTAAACCTTCTGTCGGATTATATATGTGTGATTATTTAGGAAGCAGTGAACCTGGAAGATGTGCTTGTGAACTTCACCATGGAGGAGTGGGCTGTGTTGAATCCATCTCAGAAGAAGCTCTATAGAGATGTGATGTGGGAAACATTTATGAATATGACAGCTCTGGGTAAGAATGCAATTTTCTTGTGTACAATGGGAGAACACTAGTTCTTGCTGATTGGTAGAAAGTCACTAAATAGAATGTGAAAACATTTAGAAGGCTATCTCAGACCTGATTACATTATTCCATGAATCTAGTTGCTATCTTCTAGTGACTATATTTTTATGGTTATAATTTAGGAAGCACTTGGGATATCCAACAAATTGAAGAATACAATAACTGCTCAAGAAATCTAAGGTAATGTATTTATAAGTAATATTAATACTCCTTAAGAATCCTTGATTGAGCTGAAATACTACTGCCAAAGAAATGCTACAGATGAGTCCACGGTCAAATTTACTGTCTCACAAAAAATCTTCAGATAAGCCTACAGGTTCATATTCTATAATGTGACAATTGAAGACAGAAATATTCCAGTCCAGGAAGCTAACTTAATTGAAATATTATGCAACAAACAGATAGAAAAGATGACCAGGGTGAAAAAAGAAGAGGAAAGAGATGTATGAAAAAGTATCAAACATGATCAGTGTGTGATACACATATGTATCAATGACCTAAATGAAGCCATACCTTCTATATTGCAAACATACATCAATTTACACTTCCCATGTGAATGGTATCTTTTGGGAAATGTGTGGTTTTCTGGAAACTTCCCTATTCCATCTCAGAATGTCTTAGCTAGCCTCGAACTAGAATATGTTCTGGTAAATTATTAATATAAAGATCTTTTTATTATGATTGATATTTTTGTTCTTTCTTTTCATTAAAGAAATGAAAAGATAACAAAATTTGATGAGAACAAAGTTTGGAATCAAGATGAAAAAATGTTCCTTTGGACTTCAGATGAGAATGTGGATATACAGCAGGCTGATCAAAAGCCAGCTGAAAGCCTTACGTGTAGAAAACCCTTAGTTGGACATTTATCATTAAACATGTTCACATTACTTCACAGTGATCGGAAGCCACATGAATATGTGGTATTTGATGAGAAGCCAAGTAATTGTAATGAACCAGGAAAAACTTACAGTGATTTCCAGTCCTTTCAGAAGTTTACAAGATTAAAGCCTGGAGAGCAAAGCTATCAATATGAGCAGTGTGGGAAAATGTACTATAATTCTAAGGAAAGAACTCAGCCTGGAGTGCAGAGCTTTATGTACAAGCAAAGAGTGAAAGGCTCCAGCACTCCTAGTGTTGTCAACATCCATGAAAGAATTCACAACGGGAAGACACCCTATGTATGTAAGCAATGTGGAGAAGAATTTGCATATAGGTCTGCATTTCTTAGACATAAACAAACCCACAGAAGTCAGAATGCCTATATATGTAAGCAATGTGGGAAAGCATTCACTACACTGAAGTACTGTAAAATTCATGAAAAAATTCACAGTGGGGAGAAACTCTATGCATGTAAGCAATGTGGGAAGGCATTCACTATACAAAGCTACCGTACAAGACATGAAAGAATTCACACTAGGGAGAAACCCTATGTGTGTAATCAATGTGGACAAGTATTTGCCAATCGGTCTTTACATTGTAGACATAAACGACTCCACAAACGCCAAAAAGCCTATATATGCAAGCAATGTGGGAAAGCATTCACAACTCGAGGTTATTGTAAATTACATGAAAGAAGTCACACTGGGGAGAAACCCTATGTATGTGAGAAATGTGGGAAAGCATTCACTACACTGAAGTATTGTAAGATACATGAAAGATTTCATACTGAGGAGAAACCCTATATATGTAATCATTGTGGGAAACCATTCACTACTGTGCATAGTCAAAAAAGGCATGAAAGAATTCACACTGGTGAGAAACCTTACTCATGTAAGGAATGTGGAAAAGCATTCACTACAGTGAGTGACTGTAAAATACATGAAAGAAACCACACTGGGGAGAAACCCTACGTATGTCAGAAATGTGGAAAAGCATTCACTACACTGTGGTATTCTAAAATACATGAAAGAAATCACACTGGTGAGAAGCCCTATGTGTGTGTGAAATGTGGAAAAGCATTTAATACCCTGAGTTATTGTAAAATACATGAAAGAGTTCACAGTGGGGAAAAACCCTATGCATGTACACAGTGTGGGAAAACATTCACTCGACTGAGTTATTGTAAGAAACATGAAAGAAATCACACTGGTGAGAAACCATATGTATGTGAAAAAGTGGAAGAACACTCCCTACTCTTGAGTTACTATAAAATACATGAAGGAAGCTACACTGGCAAGAAACCGTATGAATTTAAAACATTTGGAAATACATTCAGCCAATAGTAAATTTAAAAGGCATCAAAGAGTTCACAGTAGGGAGATAAACTATGCAAGTAAAGAATGTGGAAATGTATTCAGCACACAGAGTACCTGTCTGATTCATGAAAGATCACACACTGGGGAGAAACCCTATACATGTAAGCAATGTGGGAAAGGTTTTGCTACATATGCACAAGTATTGTGAAATTCAAGAAAGTTCATGCTGGGGAGAAACCATGTTACATGTGCAAGTGGTGGAAGAAGGGATTCAGTACACACAAATGTTACTAGTGACATGAAAGGACTCACACTGGGGGAAAAACCTTTGTGTGAAATGTGGGAATGTTTACACAAATATTCTCAAAGACATGAACTCACACAGGTGTGTAAACTTAAGTAAAATACAGGGAGAAAAATTTTATTAGTCCTTATGTGCTTAGATGTCACACTGATTTGGAAACCTCTAAACAATGTGAGCAACATATTCAATAATTTTAATGAAATACATGAAGTCACACTGCGAAAAAATATATGCCTATTTTCAAAATTCATCATGTACTAAAGACTTACATAAATTTAGTGAAAAATTTTAATCTCAACATTTCATAAATTTTCTAGGAACAGTACTACCATAGAGAAATACCTATAATGTGTTCTTTAGTTAACCTCTTGTAAATATCTAAACTATGTGTATGTAGTCTTCATTATAAAAACATTAGCATAATATATTTTTGTTGCAGCCATTGAGTTTAAACAATATGTACTATCTTCTAATTAAATAAGGTGAATTGAAATATATTTCTCACTTTCATGCGGTAGAGTTACGTTTTAATGTCATTTTTATTTGTTTACACTTCTGGGAAGTATACCCTATGAAAAATACCTTATATTCATTGTTTTAATGCATGAGTTTTCCTACTAACTTTGATTTTCTTCATGTACATAAGTCATATTCATGGTAGAAGGACAGAAATTTTTCAAATTGATGTGCTATATATATATATACACAGACTGTGAACATGTAATTTTGAAAAGTTCATTTGTCTTCACAACTTGAAGATTAGCAAAGATATTAGTTCAAAAATAAACATATTTTTTTATTCTAAAAAATTAACTACATATATCAAAACAATTATATCATGTGCCTAATTGTATCTATTTTGCTTTTATGTTTGGGTTAATATTATGATTCATGAAGACTTTTCTTGTTATTACCATTTCATTTTTCATGCTAAAGTTGACATGACTTTCTGGAAGCCAAGAGATGATTTCCAAGGTGACAATGTGTACTTGAGCTCCTCTGTAGAAACAGAAGCAAGTTTTCCTTTTTTATTTATTTTTTACAGCATTTAGGTAACAATCCTCCCTATGTTGGTCTTTCTCAAACAGAAATCTGTGGGGCAAATTTAGTTGGACCTATAGTACTCAAGTTGACACCGTCATATAACTATTACAGTCCATCTCTTGACAACTTCACAAAAAGACACATTTCTTTAAATGATAGGCTGCAGATACAAAGAAGAGCTCATAAATATACCTAATGTATTATAACTGTCCTATGTTGAAATGGAAATGTACTAATTCCTTACCCAGAATACAAGGATGTTTTCTTTGGGTGTGGTTAATCCTTTTTGTAACTGAAAGAGTATAACATGTTGAGAAGACTTAAACTGGGAAGTTTATTAATTTTTATACTAAAGTGGAGGCATTTTTTAAAAATTTATTGTTTTTGGTGGACCAGGGATTGAACTCAGGCCCTTGTGCTTGCTAGGCAAACTCTTATTCTATTCAGCCATCTCCCTGGCCCCATAAAGTGGAAACATTAAGAAAGAATTATTAGAATTTGAACCCTCATTTCTGTAGCAGACTATGGGGTCATACCTGGTATTTACAACTAAGTTGTGCTACTATTCTGTACTTCCGTGATATGGTGAATCATACCTGTAATACTTAACTTTCTGGGCACTTGGATATTCTGCCAGGATTGGATTGCTATAGTTTCCATTTAACTTGAATAAGAGGGTGTGGTAATACTAGCAGGCAACACATGGGCTCTCCAGTATGCAAAGTATATTTTTTCATTCCTCCATTGTAATTCTCCCTTGAGAGTGGATCATTCACTCTTAATAATATAATGGCCTTGTTAGATTGTTTCTGCAGAATCATAAGAAAACCAGAATGAGCAAGGAAAGTCTTCACATCAATCCCTCTAAAAGCCTTTCGCCCTCTGGAACCACAACTTCTTTGTAAACCAGCAGAGCATAAGGACATGAAAACAGATTGCAAAAAAATTTGTTTGTAGATCAGTACACGTGGTGGGGAGTGTATGGAGACATTAGCAGCTGTTCTTGAAAGAAGAGAGATTGTCTCCATTTTGGCTGAGTACCAGATCCCCAAACATTAGATAATATCTCAATAACATAGTGCAAATTACTTTCTTTACATATGGCAGAGGTAAATGTAGGCCACCCACCTAGCTCAGCTCACAGTACTCATCTACTTCTCACAATTCTCAGTCATTCCTCTTCAAGTCACTCCTCCACTGAATAAAACCTGGGTGCCTCCCTGGGTCAGCCTTTTTGTTCCAGAAAGCCATCTTGATGGCTGCATTTAGGGCCCCTTGTCTCCCCAGTAATTATAAGCATGTTTTAGTGTCTTTACTTTCATCATGGGTTGCACTGGGAGTGGTAGATTAGAATTAACTTGGTGTGATTCCAATAACGTGTTTGGGATTACAAATATTAACTTCTTGGCCTGAGGCTAGAACTAGGAAGGGATTCCTACGGGGATGAGTACATCTTTTACTTACACTGCTTTTTTCCTTGATGGATGCTATCCAATATAATCTGTTTGCCAACAGGTCATACATTATATGACCACAAATCTTGGCTATGGGAAACACCATACCATATAGAGGATGCTGACAAAACATACAGCACTTGGAAAACCCTTCCCATGTCCTGTGAGCTATTGTCAATTAATTTGTGTTGCAACTGTGTTTTGAAAAAAGCATTTCTCTTTTCTGTCAATGCATTGTCATCTGGAATGTGAGAAACATGGTTAAATCTGTGAATTCCATGAGCATGAGCCTGTTGCCTCACTTTGACCATCAAATGTATTCCTTGATATGAGATCCAATGCTGTGTGGAACTACATGATAGATGATGAGTTATGATGTGTATATGAGTGTCATAGATTTGGCAGAAGCATTATATGAAGGAAAGGCAAGTCCTTGTCCAGAATAAGCCTCTGCCAATAAGGACAATGCATACTCCTTTCCTTGATGGATGCCATCCAATGTAATCCATTTGCCAACAGATCAAGAGCTGATGACCTAGCAAATGGTGCCGTATTTAAGAGTTAGTGTTTGTCACTGCTGCTGGCATGTTGGACATTCAGTAGTGATTGCAGTCAGATCAGGCTTATCTTGGCTTGTCAAATCAAGATCTATTTTTCTAAGGGAGATGAATTGTTGATTTTTATGCAAAATATATGACAATCCATAGCAAAATCATAGGTGAAATGAATGTAATTTAAAGATGGTGTCATTGTCTCTTTACAAAATCTTAATTGTCTGTCAGATTTTGCCAATAAGTGCCTGCCAGAGAATACGAACCATCCTTATGTGCCTTTGGTACTAGAAATACCATTCAATCTGCTGTATAATATAACCCTAGAGACAAAGCAGCCTGCACATCTTCCTGGATCTCTTGCAATGACTTTTGTTCAAGGATGCACTGAAAACCTGCAGTTCTCTGAGTTACTTGATAAACAGGACACAGTTAAACAGTTGAGTGGGGAATATGTTACCTGCAACATGGAAATAAAGTCATTAGATCTTGTGCTGATTTTGTACTTGTAGGGTAAGCCAGAACAACATGCCCCAAAACTCTGAACTGGTAGAAATTTACCACTTGATTCAGAAATTTCACTATGGTACAAGAGCCGGAATTGTAGTATGATATATTTTCTATTCTTTGGCTCTCAAGCTATTTAGTGACAACCCCAGAATGGTTTTTGCCTCCTGGCCATTTGGTCCAGTTAGAATAGTATATTGAATCAGTGATGCCTTGTGCAACAGAAGAGTGATTGAAATGCCTGAAAACTTAAGTTGTGACACAACACTGTAGTATTACTATAACCCTGAGGTAGGATAGTGTTATAATTTGTGTCTAGCTGTCTCCACAAAGCCTCATGCAGTCAATGGTGCAGGCTTCTAGAGTTTGTGATTAATTGATCCAATGCTGGGACTATAGTTGTGAGTGGTATGCCCATCTTGGGTAATGTGTATACAATGTAAGCAAGGGAGAGAGGCCTTCTACGTGTTGCACCTACTGCTCCTCCCTTTGCTCTTTCCTGTTTTCCACTGCCGTGAACTGCCCTGTGCAATATTCCATTCTGTCTTGGAGCCAGTGTAGTATGGACAGAAACCTCCAGAAAGTGTGAGTTAAATAAACATTTCCTTCCTTAATTTAGGGTGTTTGGTATTCTGTCCTTGCAGTGAGAGAAAAGTTACTGAGCCAGATAGTTAAATTCTGTCATTGTCCATATCCATTTAAAGCACATTGTTTCTGAGGGACCTCAAGAACAGATGTGAGGGCTGGCCAGATAGCTCATTGGATTAAAGCACATGCTTAGGCAGACACAACAGCTGGGGTTAAATCTCCACTGTGCTGTGCTGTCCCCACCTCTGGGGTGCACTAAGATGGCTATTGAGACTGGGTGTGGTGGTGCTTGCCTGTAATCCCAGTACTTGGAAAGCTGAAAACAGGAAGATTACTCTGAGTTCGATCTATGTAATTAGACCCTGAAAAAAAAATGTGAAATAGGGCCCGTGGTGCAGATATCAGTTGCATTAAAAAGAATTATAGAACTTTTTCCTTTCATCAATCAAGTCCTTTTAGAACTTGGCCATGTAATTTCTGTTCTCTTTCAGAACAGTGAAGAGAAATGTAAAGCACTGAAGTAAATATGTCATTCTCAGGGGAGAGGTAGGCATGATGCCTTTGAAGTTTTTATTCTTCTGTAAGCACTTGTTTTACATGTCAGTGATAAAAAGTGGCACAGATATTAAGTAGTAAAATTAGTGTGAAATGAAGTAACAGATTTTGATCTAATTGCTATCATTTGTTTTCTTAATATGTTTTATCTTTTACAAGGGCCTTTGGGAAAAATCAGGGCCTAACATTTGATACCGTTTTAGCAGTCAGTAGCTTGAAAGGGAGCTGTGTAATTGATTTTGCAGAATTGAAGCTGTTAAGTTTTCCAGTGCAGTAGAGAGGCAGTAAAAGAAGAAGTCTTTATTGCAGACACAGAGAGGACTGCAGAGCATTGGCAGGCATCCTGTGAGCTCAGACAAGGGAACTTGGGTTATATAAACTTCGCTGGGGCAGAGAGTGAGGTGGGGAGTTAGGGACACATAGAAGGCTGACTGGGTGTTTTTTCTTTTTGTGTGTGATGGGTAAGAGGAAGATGTATTCAGGGCTGAGGAGAGAAGATAGGAGGAGTGGTCATTGGAAACATGAGCTGTTGTTTTTGGGCTTCAGCCATGTTAAACTACCACCATAATGCTTCAGCAATTCATACTCAGGCAGGAACCTATTATTCTCATCTTTTAATTGTTACAAAGGTGTGATGACTCTTGGACTGCTTCCTGCTGAGCAAGGAGCAGTCTGGGTGGTGAGATGGGGCAGGATTACAGTCTGTACCCATATAGAAACTAGTGCCTTAGCGCTGCCCACCAGAGATCATGCTGGACCTCCACTGAACCCGGCCACACCTCATCACACTGAAGACTGCCAGGGAGATTTTGCAGCTCTAGCCCTGCCTCCCCAGCCATCCTATTGGAGTTCTGCTGAACCTCACTGCCCATCCTTTCCTGGAAGACCATCAGGCTTACCTCAAAACCACAGGGAAGAGAAGAAGCCCTGGGGAGCTCTACTGTGTGCCAACCCAACATTGAGAGAGACTTATAGAACTTCAGCCTGCACTCATCATCATTGCATCCTACTTTAACTTCAGATTGCCCCCATCCCCTCAATGAGGTGGAAGTCACATGGAACCCCATAGAGCAGGTGCTTTGGTGAGCCTATTCTACCCTCCCATTCTCACAGCCTTGCTGAGCTGCACCCCACCTACCTACCATTGCTGCAGTCAGAGAAAAACTTGGGAGTTAATAAAATGATGAAAGGCAACCTCAGATGTCGAGCTAGCCCAAAACAAGTCAAGTAGACAAAGTTATAGAAGAAGTTGGAAGTCACACACCTGAAATTTCTGAGATGATAGCAAATGAAGTTGAGAAACAACTCTGTCATGCTATGGAGGAAATCAGATCAGAAATAATCTCTCAGGCTAAAAAAGGAAATGACAATAATCATGAAATAATTGCTTGATACATTTAAGGAAAACATAGATAATAATAGAAGGGAATAGGAAAATTATGGAAACATTCAATGAACAATACAAGAACTACAATGCGGGCTGGTGAGATGGCTCAGTGGTCTAAAGCACCTACTTAGAACAAGCTTAGCAAAGCACAGGGACGGCGGTTCAATCCCCCAGCACCACATGCCAGCTAGCCTCGCCCCCTGGTGGGCTGGACTGGGCCCCCCCCC